CACACCAGATGGAAAACTCTACAGACTGTCGGTTCACACCCCATCACAAGCCAGCAAAACATCCACGAAACAAAGAAAGGTCTGTCACAGCCAAAAAAATATATATATATATATATATTTTTAATTTAGTGCAGAATTTCAATGTGACCCTGAAGCAAAAACTGTTCAGTTTATTTTTCTGCATAGATAGTTTTTTTTCGAATGTTTTGGAGTTTTTTTTTTTTTTTTTTTGGCTGGGATCTTCTCTGGTCCTTCCACGGGCTGGCCACCCGGGACCCGGGCAGCCCGGCTGGTAGCCTAGGAATTGATGGGTTTTATCAAAAGTTAAACAATGGTTGGGACTTTAAGTATATGGGGCATGATGTGATTTATAAAAAACAGTGAAAGTTGTCCACATGGTGCATGGGAATGTGACGTTCATTTGTGTCTGTGTTTTATACATGTTAGTGTATTGAAACCTATGTACGAGTCTTACTCTGGAGGCAGTAAGAATTACAATCATGTGTCGCACGATCCATATACCTAATGTGTTTATGTTTGTTTTTCCTTTATTTTATCTCGAGTTTTTATTTGATATATGGATATTGGGATTATTAATTATTTTTTTACTTCTCAACTTTCATAATTGGACGTTGATACCTGTGGCAGCCATCAAAGTTAATCCCCCTGATCTTTCTCCAAGCCCTGGATGATGAAGCTTGTCTCCAAGGCCTTGAGAGACGACTGTCACCGCATGTATGAACTTGTGTATCACCCACTCTCCGGATGATGCAGAAGCGGGTATGGTGATCAACCGCTTTGACGATTGTCTTGCGTTCAGAGATTTACCCCTCAAGGCGCATGTCAACCGACACTTGAGTGTCGAACGCTCGAGGACCGCATGATTATGGGTACGACATAGTACGTCATCATTGTGACTGCTTGCGTATGCTAATCAATACGAGGTCCTGCGTCCACACGATTTTTATACCAAGTCTTGCGCACGCCGCCTAACCGATTTCCGCATCGGTAGGTTATGGTTTAGATACTAAAAGAACTAAGAATGTTTTTATATTTGTTTAAGTGTGTTTTTAATTGTATGTTGAAAACATGGTGTGACGCATGGTGAGTCTGATACATCCTAGTCGACCATCGAGGAGTCGCGCTTGGGACTTCAACCCCCCAAGGCGTCAGTTCGCATGCAGATTCAATAATGAGGCGTGGGACCACACGTACCCCCTATGCTAGAGCGTACGAGAAACGCCCTCAGTTGGTCCACCTCTGCGATTGCAATTGATCAGCTTTCGTACTGTGGATTGATAGCTAGACGGGGATACGCCCACCGAAGGGAGGTCACAGCTTCCGCAAGTGGAGGTAAGTTTTACCTCGCGCAGACCTTACCCTGTAGCAAGGGCTCGCGAGAGGTATGGCTGGCGCACTCGACCGAAGCGGTTTGCGAAAGCTCCATGTGTATTGCCCAACACACCAACTTCTGCGTGACGCGGTCGAGAAGCTCCCACCCTGCACGACACCGATGCGCTCGACACCGGTACTTCACATCATCACTTGAACCACGGAAGGATTCCAACCGTGGAAACCGCTTGCATCAGGTACCTTCAAAGAATAACGGTGGTTTCATGCGCGAAAACACATGCAAATGCCACAAGTCCCGACAATGAGCTCGTAAAGCGCACACACCCCAAGGTAGTCTCAAGTTATCCCGCTAATCTATGCACTAAGTCGCACGGCCCCAAAACCGCCCCTACAATACCGTGAAGCGGTACCAATAGCCCCAACTGCCTCAACCGCTGACGACACGTGCAATGACTGGAGTATGAAACTTTTTTTCATCCCTCTTGAACTTGTTTGCTTGATGTGAAAGTAGATAAAAGGACGTTTGCAAAAGAATGATTGATTGTGCCTACTTGGGATGATGAAGAGGATCTTTCATTCAAACTTTCACCTGCATGCATATCACATGGATGCGAGTTTTGAAAACGGGCAATTTAATGAGCGCCGTAAAAAAAAATTATAACAAATAAATAATATAAGGTAAAACTTTTTTTCCAAGGTGACCCATTATTTCCCGAATGACCCATCTTTATCCATGCCTTATCGAAATGGACCCGCTTCCTCACTTCTCCCTAGACCCTACTTTGTCTAAGTTGGCTTTGGTGAAAGAGAAAGAGGATAAGCGAAGCCGCCAATAGTTAGCATCATTCCTCTTTCTAGGACGGCTCAAGCCGGGGGACAGGTGTTTTAGTAGCCAGCCCCATTAACAACTCAAGGGTTTGGGTGGGCCCAAATAGATCCCAAAATTGGGGGAAATACTTTGCCGACTCAGTGGTGACTGCTCGAACTCTCAAATCCAAGCTTCCTGCTCCAGCGAGGGGGAGGAGTACCTCAACCCAAAACGTGAGAACTAAGAGAAGCTTTAGCCGCCCCAGAGTCTTTATCAAAAGGGACTGGTGTACTAAACCTTAAAAGTGACAGTCTTGGGGCTCACTACCGACATGGAAGACTGGCGCCTTAAGAAGCCCAATCCATTTGGGAAACCAGTTAAAGTGGGCTTCACTACCGATATGGAAGACTGACGACTTAAGAAGCCTAATCCATTCGGGAGACTAGCTAAAGTGAACGCATATAGGTGTCACTCTCACAAATGGGGTTGGCACCATAAGAAGCGAGGACCCGAGGCAAATAAACAAGACCATCCCCGTCGATTATCATTAATCAATATAAGGACGAAATTGATAACGTTGGCAACCTGTCTCATCAAGTCAAATATGAAACAGCGACTACCTTATCGTTTGAATCGAGGCTAGCGACCAAACTAACTTCTCGTTGGCCTACTTTATGGTACTTCGTTTATTGAATTTGACCCAAGGCAGTCGGTTTTTATTTCGATCTTGTGTTACCATATGATGTTCGAATTCATTCAGTTATCATTTCATGTTATTATATTCAATCTTTGTTAACTTCATTTTTTAGTTATACGTAAAACGAACGAAGTGCTTGTGGGTTTCACGCTTGGTTGAGACCATCCTAGTCGACTGACAGGTTCTTTGTACTTGGGAGATCAGCACCCTTGGGAACAAATGATATTCAGGTTCAGACACACTCTAATCACGCGTACCTATACTACAGCAAAACGAGCAAACACCATCGGCTGACCTGCCTCTGCGACTGCATGTACAAGCTCTTGTCTGTGGGTTAGGAGCTCAGTAGAGATAAGCCCCTTAAGGTTGGCGACAGCCCCTTAGGGAAGGTGAGATATGCCTCCTGGAAACCTGTCCTGTCGCAAGGGACTATGAAAGGTACAGTTGGTGCATCCGGCTGCAGCGGTGAGGTGACAGAGCAACCACACCCGTGTCAGCGGCTCGCAAGACTACTTATGCGTTGTCTCCAAATTGTCTCTTGGCTTTCCTTACTCCTACATGACATGGCCGGGAAGGCTCTCACCTTTGCAAAAAAGGCGGGAGCCGATGCCCTCGACACCGTTACTTCGATCAATGATCCCACCCCCCCTCCCCCAATATGGGTGGTCATTTCGATCGCATCCTGGATGAAAATGTTTACATGTTTTATAGGAGGAAAAGACGTCAACAACAGTACAAAGTTCGGTTCCAGTACCAGATACCAGAGGACAATGGTGGTACTCTAAAACTGAGGTGCATGAGACAGCCCTAAACATCACATCATACTATGAGAGGGTTTGAAGGGGCATCAATAATCGGGACAGGTGAGAAAGGTGTCATCTTTTTCTTGAGGACCTTGACATTAGGGCGAAGTGAAAGGATTTCACGTCTCCATCAAGTCCAGTGTGTGGCAGGCCCAGCGGCCAAAGCAGGTTTCCACCAATTCAGGCCTCGTTGGTTGGTTGAGAAGTCCACTTCGGGCAGCATCTTGGGAAAGTCTGGTGACTTCTGAAATAGCAAAAGTGTGGCCCACAGAACCTCAAAGACCATTACCAGTTTGGGGCGGACAAAGGTCAATTTAGCAACTAGAGTATCCTGGGTGATTCACTTGTCAGTTCGCATGTTGCAGAAGCTCTGCTGTACACTTGTGTGATGGTTGAGGTGCCTGGTCGGACGTACAGGGGTGGAAGCTGGTGCTAAGAACATTAGCTAGGACCGGTGAGGAATGAGGAAGTCACCATAGCTGATAGAGTTGAGCATTAGCTATCCAAGTGAGCGAGCAAGAGAATGAGACAGACAGAGCAAGTTAGCAAGTACCTGAGAGTGATAGAGAGCTTGGGCGGCCATAGCCACATGACCTTTGAGTTTGGGTACTTGAGAATTTCGTTTTCTGGAGTAATATCTTAAGAGTTTGGCTAGTATCTGTCTCATTGCTTCGCTGTTCAATTGTCATGTAGATTCCGAAGACTTGCGCATGTTTGTGATCAGGGAATAAAGTTGAGTCAGGTCATTTGACAAATGAATTTTGCTTCAGAAATTTGAATCCTGAAGAAGGGAGAGGAGAACGAGAGCCAGGCTCAGATAATCCCCAAACTACCTATATTTAGAACAGTAGTGCACACTTCATTAACACCAATCCCTCCTTTTAACACCAACATCTCTTCCACGCTGAGAAGCCTGCAAAAACAACATGCCAAAATCATCACATCATCAGTTCCTAAAAATATCACTTGAGATGCCAGACCACTTTCCATAACATGTTCGGCAGCATCCACAAGGACAGAGAAGAGGAAACATGTGACATCCGGAAAGTGTCCGAAACGCTTCCAGATGTTAAGAGTCGTAACGTGAAAACAACAAACGACAAACGAGGAAGGGAATAAAAGTCTCTCAATAGATATTAAGAGTCGTTACGGGAAAAAAACAAGCGACTAAAGAGAAGTTGAAAAGAGTCGTTATATACCAAAGAAGCTCAAGAACACGGACAAAACTCCACTAGCACGCAGATGCAGTGAGAACAACAGCGCTGTTGAACTACCACCAAACCGCCTTCTCGGACACCGCAGAAAAGAATGGACACCCTTCCTCACAAAAGGAAAACCTCACGGAGGAATTGAACAGTGACCACAAGCTGGTCCGAACAGGTAGAGCAACGCCTGCTCCTCCCTCTTTCTCCTACCTGTCACTCTGAAGCATCACCGCTTTTCCAATACAAATCCTCCAATTCAGTCTCATCAATTTAACACGCCAGACATCACAACCCGCATCCAGCACACCATTATAGACTACGAAGATGACTCATCCATCACTTCCCACCAGGACCAGAAGCAGTGCATTCACCCACTGTTACTCTCTCTATCTCTCTAGTCCACTCTCTGGCAGACAGCAGAAGCACCACTCTATTCACCATCACGCAGTTGCAGCAAGAACAACAGCACTGTTGATCCACCGCCGAACTGCCTCCTCAAATGAACACACTCCTGGAGTTTTCTCACAAAACGAAAACCCCTCAGAGAGATCGAACAGCAACCCGCAGCAGATCCAAACAGCCAGAGTAATGCCTGCTCCTCCCTCTTTCTCCTACCTGTCATTCTGAGGCATCACCCTTTTTCAAATACATTCAATCCTCCAATTCAATCCCTGATCGATTTAACATGCCACAGATAACAACCCATATGAGCACACTTACTATTGCAGACTTCGAACAGGACACATCCATCACTTTCCACCAGAACCGGAAGCGGTGCCTTCACTACTGCTGCTATCTCTCTCTCTCTCTCTCTAGTCCGCTCACTGGCAGGCAATACAAACACCACACAAGATCAACCATACCATTGCCACTCCTGTTGAATTTATCTACAGCAAATCCGCGACGTTGCTCGGCAGCTCATCAATCTGCGTGTTGTAGAACTTCTGGATATCCTGCAACAGGCGGGTGTCGTCCTGGGTGACGAAGTTGATGGCAACTCCCTTTCTTCCAAATCGCCCGCTCCTACCGATACGATGCAAGTAGTTCTCCGGTTGCGTRGGCAGGTCATAGTTAATGACGAGGGACACTTGCTGCACGTCAATRCCACGAGCCAAGAGGTCGGTGGTAATCAACACACGAGAGGAACCGGATCTGAATTCCCTCATGATGACGTCACGAGTRTTCTGATCCATATCTCCGTGGGTAGCAGAGACCGTGAAGTCGCGAGTGCGCATCTTGTCCGTCAACCAGTCGACCTTCCTTCTCGTGTTGATGAAGATGACGCTCTGCGTGATGGCCAGCGTCTCGTACAGATCGCAGAGAGTGTCCAGCTTCCAGTCTTCCTTGTCCACATTCACGTAAAACTGCTTAATACCCTCGAGGGTCAGCTCGTCTCTCTTCACCAGAATCCTCACGGGCTTGCTCATGAACTTCCTCGTGATCTCCAGAGCATCAGGAGGCATGGTAGCCGAGAACAAACCGACTTGGAGCTTGCCCGGCAGAAGCTGGAAGATGTCGTAAATCTGCACACACAAGGCGAAATGAAGAACACAAACGAAGATGTCGCATCAGGTCGAGGTCTGTAGTACTCAATACCTAACCCTGCTCTTGCCAATTACACAAAGAACCTGGTAATCAACAGAGAGAAACGACTAGGCGTGGATCAGACATAAATAACGCAACCACAACTACTCAATGCCAGTCTGTTCGGACGTAAAAGCAAACGAACCCTCGCACCATCACACGGAAACTCGAAACATTTCAACTAAAAAAGAAGGGACACCAAAAGTACAAAATCGAGTCCTCGATACATCACCACACAATCGCAGCTTACTCGGGGAAATCGGTAGGGATCGAGAGGGACATACCTGGTCCTTAAATCCTCGGGAGAGCATTTCATCGGCCTCGTCGAGAACGAAGATCTTGATGTAGTCCGGCTTCAGCGCTCCTCGGCGAAGCATATCGTAGACACGTCCTGGCGTTCCAACGACAACATGTACTCCACTCTGCAGGATCCTCTGGTCCTCCCTCACACTTGTACCTCCGACACAGGCGTGCACCTTCACTTGGAGGTAGTCTCCAAGAGCCCTCATGACCTTCTCGATCTGCTGAGCCAATTCTCGGGTAGGGGCAAGGACGAGAGCTTGGCATGCCAAGGCCTCGTAGTCCAGCTGCTGCAAGACTCCAGAGCAGAAGGTCGCCGTCTTTCCCGTACCTGACTGCGCCTGCTGAATGACATCCAGTCCTTTGCAGAACGGAACGATGCCCCTCTGCTGGATGGTCGACGGTTTCTCGAAACCTGTTGCCAAAAGAGAACCGAACACACCACCCGTCATTACAGCCGCGTCATCTCTCACGCAGAACTCCCTCCACA